TCTTCAAAGGAGAGGAAACTCATTGTTTTGTTAAGGCATCGATCTTGCTCCTTGCTTGGATACTGATCTTCACGACATTTGAAACAATCTTCTGTGTCTGCATGAAAAGATCAGCGTGAAATCATTTAGTTCCTATTTACTAATTTTTAATAAATGTTCTTTGCTATTGTTTGAAGATTGATATTCATTCTGCAATCCATTACTCATGTACTTGTTATCCAATAGTTATTCCAAAATCTATACTAAGTATATCAAAAATCTATGATTCGATCAGGTGTGATATGAAGCAGCATGAAGTCTGAGACATTCATTATAATGAATAATTAAAATTTAGATTGTACAGAATATGGTTGCTGTTCCCTGCCAGTTATCTCTTTGGTTTTAGGGTTGAGTTTATAATTTTCATATTTGTCAAGGTACCAAAACCATTTAGACATTTGCCTAATTAATGAGTTAGTTAATAGATTGTAATCTATACATAATATTGATCATTGCATTTTTCCCCATTCCATTTTACAAAGAATATACCAGCAGTTCCAATACTTTTCTAAATGTATTTATGTGTAGTGCTATGCATGACTGTCATATAACTGGTCCCCAGTTTCTCTTGGGACTATATAGAGAGCATCCACAGATGACAATCCCTGAACCTAATGCTAATTAAAAATTAATCATTTTCTTTACTTTCTTATTTCTTTTTAAATCCCAGTTTGTATTTTTCTGGGATTTAGAGCACGCTTTCTGAAAAAGAAGGGATTTCATGTGGTGTTGTCAGGATTTTTAAAGCTATTCTTTTATTTTCAGATGTTGGGGAATATTACTAAATAAGATTAACATGGGTTAGCTGTGTTCCCTGCACAACAGACTCACCCTTAGCAATAAATAAATTGTGATGAAGCAATTTCTTTCCACCCAGTGTCATAAAAAATTGAAGGACTTCATAACTGACCTATCTTGCTTGAAATTTTCCCTTGTGGACATGGAACACAATCGTAGCAGCAGAAGGTTTTCCTTTCAGACTTTCTCTTCCAAAATCCAGGGTGACAGTATTCATTGCACAGAGAAACTGGCAGAACCTGTTCATAACATGGAAAAGTTTGCAGAGGTAGTTGCCAATCTGTTATGCTTTTTCATCAGCTGAAAATAGAGTCAACTAATCATCTTATAAGGAGAATCATGGCCAGCAAAGATCAGTTGGAGACATTTTAACTGAAATCTTTTCTATTCTTTAAGGAAGCTGCAAAAATTTAAACATTCTACATGTATGTAGGCCCATACCTGATTAAAGCCTTTGTGCCATGCAATTAGATTTTCATTAATGATCAATTCATTTCCATAAGAAACATTGGGATCTAGCCTTCCAACTTTCACACTCTGAATGGACTTGTTTGGAAAAGCGATCATGTTGATGATGTCAAATCCTCCTATGACTTCCCTCTTCTCATTAAAGGACACCCTCTCTCCTGCTGAGTTGTTGAAAGAAATGCCTTGAAGAAATCGGTGGAGCTACTTGAAAAAGAAGGAGGAAGAGAGGAAGTTGAAATAACAATAATGAGAAAAATCAACATATTAGACATTCCTTGTCTGATTTCCAAAATTCTTTATGCAGTTTCATTGGACAAAATGCCAGTACAAAACCAAGAGTATATATTGTAAAGAATGTAATATTTTCAAGTTTTCCTTGATAAAACCAAGAGGTCAACCCACAAAGTGTTGTCACTGAATAAATTATAAAGAATTGTGTGATGCAATCTTCCTTGAGGAGAAAGTTAAATGTAATCTAATTGGGATGGAGGAGATTATTGCTATATGCCAGCCTTACCAGGTAGACTAGACACGAAACACAACCAGGTAAACATAGCCAGGTCTACATTATTGTAAAGCTACATTAATAAAATCTTGCAAGTCTGAAAGTAAAATTCTCCCACCACCTCTTTTACAGCCCCAGAAACTAGGGAAGGTCCTTTCTGAGTCTCTTGTCCCACCCACTATCCAGATGAGAGCTATGCTGACTCTTATCTAACTGTTCCCTAGGCAGCATCTCTTTGCCCCATCACCCAATGGTATCTTTCCCACATGCCATTATACTCTTTGAACAATAGTTTATACTTGAAATTAAGGCTTAGCTCATTTTGAAGCTAAATTATATTGTATTAAATTCTTTATAGAAAAGAAAACATATGTGCTGGAG